ACCCTCGCCCGCCTGCCGCACCTGCGCCCGCCCGTGCTGTACGTCTTCGGCGGTGCGAGCGACCTCTCGACCCCCGAGCTGAGGGAGGAAAAGATGCGCCTGACAGGGACGGGCGTCGGCGGGAGCGGCGGCGCCGCCAGGGGCAAGGTGGCGGAGGTGACGCTGCCGGGGGCCGGGCATCTCTTCCCCATGGAGGTACCGGGCGAGAGCGCGCGCCTGGCGGCCGGATGGATCGAGAAGGGGCTGGCCGAGTGGCGGGAAGAGCAGACCGATTACGAAAGGTGGACGAGGTTGAGCGTGCCGGAGAAGACGATGCTGACGGACGAGTGGGTGGAGAAGCTCGGGGGCTCTGCACGGCCGCCCAAGGCGAAGTTATGAATTGAGTGGGCAGTGATACACAAGCAGCGACATCTTTTTCTTTTCTTCTTCTTTTTCTTCTTTTCTTTTCGGGGCGATGAACTTGAACGCCTGTGCGATGGTAGACACTTTGTCGTTTTTCTTGGGACGTTGAAGAGTTTGATGCTAGGGACTCTAGATCTAGACCATATGTATACAAGAAAGCTGGCATCCTGGTCAGGCTGGCCATTGTCGTTCTCCCTCTTTCCCTTCCTCGCCCTCTTCCGGTGGAATCCACACCAGCAGACCTTCCTTGTCGATCTTCATGCCCTCCGTCGGGATGATCCTCAGCACCTTCTGGAAGTACTTGTCCCTAACCACGAGCGTGGGCCGGATGTAGTCGCCTCTCACAAGGGGCAGCAGCCGATACGTGATGGTCCTCCTGGAGACCGGCAGCACGTGCACCGTCGTCTGCTTAGAGCCCGAGAACGCGAACTCGTCGCTCGGGTCCATGCTCAGGCCGAACGTCAGGAAGTGGCTCGACGGGTTCTCGATGGTGATGTTCAGGTTGATCAGGCCCGTCAGCGGGTTGGCGAGCGAGTACGAACCGAGGACGCGGGGTTCGGTGCCCAGCACAATGTATCGCGGGACGAGCATCCTGGTCGTGTTGACGGTCGCCGCCGCCGAGGACGGAGACTTCGCCCGCCTCCACCTGAGGACAAAGGCCACGTCAAGAGACGCCGGTCCCTTGTCGTCGAGGCTGAACTTTTGCGCCACCAAGTCGAACTGCGCCTCCTGCATCTGCCTCGGCGGGATGCGGAGGCCTCCTTCGGGAACCTCTGGCCGGCTCGCTGTGGTGCATCGCGCGTTGTTTTGGCATGCGACCACCTCGGCGTTCATGCTGACCAGCTCCAGGTCGTCCGTCGCGAACGATGCGAAGTGGCAAACCAGACACCACTTCTGCGCCAGTCCGCGAGGCTGCACCGCGGCTTCGTCCACGGAGGGATCCTGCACACCCTCGTGGTCAAACAAGCTTGGCCAGGGATCGGGGTGGAGGCGGGGAATGAGGTCGTAATTAGCCTCAAAGGGGTTGACGACGGTCAGCTGGACCGGCAGGATCTGCATGATCAAGGTCGCCGGGTCCGTAGTGAGATGGTAGAAGACTCTCAGCGTCACATCATACGAGGTTGTCAGTTGCGCCGGGTCCAGGCCGATCTTGACGCGGGTCGTTTGCGACGTCGCCAGCGTGCCGAGCGACAGGCCTGTGAGCTTGGCCTCCTCCTTGCCGGCTTCCGCGGTGTGCTCCTCTCCGTTCTCGATGTGCACCCGGAAGGGCGGGATTTGTTCGCCGAAGACGTGAACCTCCAGCTTGGCGACCGCGTCTGCGTCCTCGGCGTTGATCACGTCTAACAGCAAGTCCATGGGCTCATTCGCATAAAACTGCTCCAGGGGCTGCGCCAGCTTTATCTCCAGCTTAGGCGGCCTCGCCTGTACTTGGATGACGTGTGCGCTCTGCCGCACAATCCGCCTCCTCGATAACGAGGGGCTAAACCAGAAGTCCGCCGCCTCGAGGTTTCGAAAGGCGATGGTGTAGTTGAGTGTGAAAGTGTCAGTCTCCAGAACCAGAGTCACCGAAGAAGCGTGAGCCTCCCCAGGCTCTCGCAGGGGTATCGCCATTTCGTAGACACTTATGTGGCCCGGCCTCACCGACAAGTCTGCCGATCCGCTGAGCCCTGATGTGCCCTCCTCACCTTCTTCGGCGTCTGCCCGGGATTTCTCGGTCAGAGGCACCCTCGATAGCGTTACATTGCCCTTTTCTGTGCCTGTTGTAGAGCCTGCCTCGTGGTCTAGTGTGATGGTCTTGAGGCTGCCTTCGAAGTCGACCCTCAAGCCTTTGAGAGTTACCGTCGCTGTGTCCGGGAACGCGTTTGATTTAATCGCAAGCTGTGCCTGGCAAGCCTCGCCAGCCTTGCCGTCTTCAGTCTTGAAGATGAAGGACGCGGATATGAAAGATGAGATGACGTTGTCATTGATCGTCACCGTTGGCTTCGAGTCGAGTTTAAGACCCTCTAGGGATCTGGATATGTCGTAATGCCACTTGGGCCGCCGCGTGAACTCTGCCAGCAATGTTAGTCTTCGGCCAGTAGGAAGTGGACGGGCACGTCTTACTCCTGTTCAGCAGCTCCCAGTCAATGGCAACCACGAGCTCTCCCTGTCCAGCATGTGCCGCCGCAGCACGTAATACCCAGCTCAGGTCTTCGGTGATGTTCAACCAGCCTTCTGTTCTGAATAACATGTCCTCCCACAGCGGCCGCAACAACGCCACTATGTCGTCCCACGCCTTCATGTTGACCATTTCCTTGGCACACTCTAGCGACAGCTCGGCCGACAACCGGAGTTGTCCCCGCGCCTGGAACTGCGATCTGGCCGCCATTAAGCAGTCTATTATAAGTTGAGAGTGGTTTACGCCCAATCCATGAACAGGAAACTCTTCATGGGGGTCTGGGCACATGTACGTGTCGTATTGGAACGCCTTGCTGGCCAGGGCTGATGCCGGAGTAGTCTCTGGCGAGCGCCGGTCTTCTTCCGGAATGGACCGAGCGAGGGCCCGTCGGACAATCAGATGCTCAGCAGCGACGCGGTACCAGTATCCCGTGTGGTGCAGCATCTCCCAGGGCTGTAGTCGCTCGCCCGCGGCAGCCTTCTCTGGCTGAAGGAACAGAGCCCGAGTCGACGGCGCCAAGCTGCGGACATCCACCCTCTCGATCAAGTTGGCCATGACGACGGCCCATCTTGATTCCCAGGCGGCCCAGCCATAATTGTTGGTCCCTCGGCCACGCCTGTCAACAAAATCCGCCATCCTTTCCCGGTGTATTTGCCACCTCCGCGCTGCAGCCGTAGTCTGTCCAGCCCAGAGCAAGCATCGCATGCTGCGTATGGCAATAACATCGGCTAGCATCCGCGCCTCGTTCCATCTCGGACTCCAGCTGGGGATGATGTCCATCACATCTTGGCTGAGAAGTCCTTCGTAGGCCTGGTCGTATGAGCGTAGCGCCGCATCCATTTCTTGGCGATACTCGGCGAAGATGGCCGTCTTGTAATCGTATCGCACGTTCCAGTCCTGCACCGTCAGTGTTTGTGAGGTGCTTGTGGGAGGCACCGTGGGCTGGGGAGCGACGCCCCGACTGCGCTTCTTCCTAGCATGACGACCGAGGTCGCGGTAGTACTCTATGGCCTGAAGAAAGACGGCTGCCAACATAGAATCTGCTGCATGCTCCAAGTCTTTGGACAAGTCGTGAGATGAAAAGTAGAAGAACGACTTGGTGTCCAGAGCAACGCCTTTTCTGATGTTGTCAAGACGGTCCTGCATGAACTCCTGCATGGAAGAGGGCACGGTGCCATCGCTCATGAGAACCACGGCAAAACGTGTCCTGTAGCCCGACCTGCTGAGAGCCGCTTTGATCATGTTGATGTCGGTCTTGAGCTGGTTATCGTGAAGCATCGCTAGAGTGGGATCGGATGTCAAGGTGTAGCATGACACGTAGACGCTGGGGACCATATCCTCATGTTTCTGAAGCCAATCCTTATTCATCAAGCCGTCGGGATACAAAGGCGACGCCGGACTCAGGGGTGAAAAAGGCGAGTGCAAGACGGCGGGCGTCTCGGGTGCCTCGAGGCCCTCTGGGAGCCTGGCGCGACGGGGAGGAAGGACAAGAGACTATGCAGGAGTTAGTCCCGACAGGACACATGGTGATGTAAGCCATACTCGACCAGCGACGGTGACCCGCAGCTTGTACGGCTTCCCGCTGTCCCTCCCATTCCAAGGCTGCTTTCTCCCATCCTGGCGCACAACGTAGTCTTTCAGAGCTTCAGCATCTTTGCTTTGAATGCTCGGCAGTTCTGACCGAAGGAGGATGGCCTGGTCTCGAAGCTCTGCGTTCAGAGGCAGGTCTCGTGTAGGACTTGACGTCAAGCCGGCGAGGACGATGTGCGGGATGTTGTGATCCAGGCTTCCTACTGGGTATCCGTCCATTTTCGAGAGGTTCTATGGCACACGGGGTAGGCGGCCATGAATATAGCGATTCGGTTCGCGGGGAGTCGGCCGTATCGCAAAGCTCTGGTATGCAAGGGCCAGCACTTGTAAAGCTCCGGTGACACGTACGGATGGTGGTGCTCAAGGGAGCATCGTCGCCGGGACTAGGATATCGTATATTTGGCGGCGGGAGAGAAACGCAGCAAAGAAAGACTAGGAATTGTCGCGAAGGTGGGAGCTTCGTTCAAGTGGGAAGCGCGCAAACAAGGGTCTCTCTCCTCCACGAGCGGGACAGAGTGCAGACAGAGTACAGGTACATGTCCCCAGGTGTCGCAAGCTCCCTTCCAGCGATCCCAGCCCACTACACTCCGCTTGCCGGTACCTGGTAAACATCTCACTGTATCCGTACCGTAGCGTAGTAGGTAGGTACCTAGGTAGCAACTTTCGCAGAGAGTGGGTACGTATCCTTGCCAGCACACACCACCGCCCTCCAGCTGGCAACAGGGCATCTCGTCGCCGGGTAGACTGGAGTGGTCACTAGTAGCATGACCTATGATTGGCTGGAGATGCAGATGCTGTCATGGGCCCCACCGTAAAGAGCGGAAGCGCGAGCGCACTCACAGCAAGCCATGGCCGAAAGGTGCCCTGGAGGAAACCGAAAGACAGACAGCCTTGCCGCCCGCGTGGTGCCTCTTCTCCCGCCTCGTCACAGAGACTGCGCGCAGAAATTGAGGGCTACCCTCTTCCCACACCACACCACCTCCTTCTCCGACCTCGTAAATGACTCCCTTTCGATCACATCTCGCCGCGAATTCTGCTCCGACCGTAATTCTGTGAAACTTTTTTGCTTTCTTTGCTCGAAAACGCCCCTCAACCACGTCCTCCCCCTCGCCGTCGCCCGCGTCTTCCTCCTTCCTCACCACCGACCGACCAGCCGACCGACCTCCGCGATCGCTCCGGCACGACGCCAGGAGCAACAGACAACACGGCGCAATGGCTACACAACAGATCCTTTTTGCCGAAACGGTGGCCGCTATGAAAAAGGCCCTCAAGCGGAAAAGCTATGGTAGGCCCCCCGGAATCCCCTCTCGACGACGACCTCGCCGTCGCCCTTGTCCGTACACGTTCTGACAAGCAGCTTCGCAGAATCCGACTCGGACGACGAAATTGACCACTACGGAAACCGCGGGCACAAGCTTAAAAAGCGTGCCCTTTTCTCCCACCAGGGTCAACTCGCACCACCCTCCGGTCCTGAAGTCTACAACGAAGTGCGTCGCGCGCCCCTACCCACTCGCTCGCTGCCAACTGGTCTCCGATCAGGGATGACTGACTGACTGATGACTGCAGGTAATCGATTATGCTGGACAGCAGCGCACGATCATCAGCCGCAACCCGCCAATTGTGGACGACGAGGGATACGAGATTGACAGTGACGACGACGAGGAGCGCATCCAGGAGGCCGTCTCTGCGGCCACCGAGCTCGACCCCTATGCCAACATTCGAATTGAGCGTCAGTCTTCTCTGATTGACCCCATAGCAACATAGCTGACCCTGTTTCTCCAGAGATCCTAGCTCCATTGACTGCCTCGACCGACCTTCCAAGCCATCCTACCCTCTCCAAGCCGTTCACCGCCAAGACATTAGACGAGATCGCTGAGCAAAGCTGTGAAGTCAGACGCAAGGAGAACGCATCTCTGTGGAGGGTAAGGCATCTCTTCACGAGGCTATGCGGCGACTACACATGGGTGCCATGCGGCATGATGGTTGGGCCTGACGACGCCGATCTCTACTCGAGCGACTACGTGGAGCGCGGCTACGCGCGCAAACCAAAAGCTATCGCCTCGAGAGAAACCGAGGCCGGTGCTTCAGGAACAGTGAACGGTGACGCGAAACCGGAGCGAGCGCCAAACGGCACGAACGGAGAGTCTTCGGGTGACAAGCAGAGCAGCGACGGGGACGTGACCATGGCTGATGCAGGCTCAGACGAAAAGTCGACCAAGGTGGACACAGCTACCGCAGGCGAGGCGTCTCGGCCAATCAACGGTCAGGCATCAAAGACGGACATTGCCCAGAAAGCGGGAGCCGACGAGAGCATTGCCGACAAGAAGCAGAAGCAAAAGGCTGTCGATGTTGAAATGCAAGAGGGCAACGCGGCACCCCGGTCGCAGCCCGGAACGGACTTGTTGGACCACAACGGAATGCATGCGCCATCAATAGCATTGGAAGAGGTGGACGAAACATTTGTTCACCCGTTCTTCCGACCGCCGCCCAACGCTCGTCCAGACCGAGATGTGGGTCTGCCAGAGGCCGAGGCCGAGGATATCCGCCGGTTGCTGGCACTGTACGTACAGAAGCAGGAGGAGGTCTGCCGCGGTGCCATGAAGCTCCACGAAGGCCTCCTCAAGGCCAACCGGCTGCGCAAGACGGTGCTTCACTGGTCCAAGGCGGAGGCGCACAGCGGACCGAACCGGGACATGTCGGACGGCGAGGACTGGTACGACAAGGAGGAGTGGGGTCTGACCGAGGACCTGAAGAAGGGCCAGGACGACGAGGAGGAAGACACGGGCACCGTGGCCAAGAAGACTAGGAATCGCAGGTGACACGGTGCCCAAGCGTTGTTGCTGGCTTTCCCAGCTCCGAGGGAACGGTTCTGTGTTCCGAGTGTTTTGAGGATGCGGTTGATACCCCCATGTTGCGAATTGTTTTGTCCAGGCGTTGCGGCGCTTGCTATTTATTTTACCTGCCCACTTAGAAATAATGAGACGACGAATATTTCGATGGTCGTGCGACGGTACCACAAACGGGATTTGGCTTGTTCTTTGGAGGCTCTTCGGCGACATGGAAGCTTTTCTTGTCTTAACCCCAGCCCCCGAAGGCTGCCGAAACCCCAGAAAAGCAGGTGCACCCATGCGTTATTACTGTGGATGACGAAGGCGCTATGGCCAAGCGGCCCCCACCAAGATAAATACTTGGGTGGAGCAAGCTTCTGTCACAAGCAAGCGACTCGCTCCCATCACTTCTTCTTCCATTTGCCTGTCTGTCCTCAAATCTTCTCCTTCGAAAAAGAGCGCAAGAGAGGAACAAAACCCCGGCATTTCCCCAATTGAAACCCCCTCCCCAGCAGTCATTACTCCGAACTGATACCAAACTCGAACACAACATGGCGCCAGTCGAATTCCAAAGCAAGGCCCTGGTCGACTTCGACCAGAAGAGCTTGTTCAGTACGTCATGCCGCCTTCGTAGAGCTTGGGCCTTCCCACCGGCTTCTCACCTCGTCGACCTTCTTGCTGACAGGCTGCACATAGTTTCCGCCGCCGCAATTGCGTTCAACCCGCTCTTCTGGAAGTAAGTTTTTCTCCAATGTTTCCCAGTGAAGTCGTATGTGCTGACAGCTGCGTAGCATCGTCGCGAGACAAGGTTCGTCACACTCTTGCTGTCGTGCCTGGTAGTGCTGCCCCTCTAACCCGGTCCTCTTCTTCCCCAGAGTACAAGAACAAAGTCCTAACCAAGCTCTTTGGCGGACGGTCGCAGGCTGCCTGCTACGGCCTGGCGGTTACTATCTTCTCCCTCGGCATCTTCCGTGACCTGCTTTACGAACGGGCTCTTCGCTTCCAACCCACGCACCCTCTGCTCTCGTCCGATGCGGTGACCTATGTGGGATATGCCCTTGTCGCCTGTGGCAACATTCTCGTTCTCTCCTCAACGTGGCAGCTGGGTATTACCGGCACGTTCCTCGGTGACTATTTCGGCATCCTCATGGACGGCATTGTGACTGGTTTCCCCTTCAACATCACCGATGCCCCGATGTACAACGGTTCCACAATGAGTTTCCTCGGTGCCGCTCTCATCTACGGCAACCCTGCCGGCATCTTGCTGACTGCCTGGGTCTTCATTGTCTACCAGGTCGCCCTGAGCTTCGAGAACCCTTTCACTGCTGGCATCTACGCCAAGAGAGACCGCGAGCGCGCTGCCGGCAAGGACACCAAGAAGGTCAGGTAAAGGTGATAAGAGGCCCAGCTTCAACAGCACCATGATTCTCCAAAATTCCGTCCGAGTCGGGGCCGCAGCGCAAGACCGGACGACAGGGGGGTGTACGGAGCCATGCATGCACGGTCCCGCCGGGGGAGAAAGAACCGAGATGCGGTCCTCCGGTAAAAACCGGTCAGCCCGGTGAGCTGGCCCGCCACATGCATGCACCCATTTCCCGAGAAGAAGAGAGAGAGAACGGCCGGCCGGCAGAGTTCAGCCCAAACCGGCCCGCCAAGAATCAGAGATCAGCCTTCAACAGAGTACGGCTGCCCAGAATGCCTTGGCGACCAAAGACCGAGGAACCTTCACTTCTAGTCAGACCAACCAGAAAATCAGAATTTACATAGCATGGTTGGCGTCGCCCTTGCGCCACACGTTCATGCAATTATCCATCCAAGCCCACTGCCTATGCCTATACATGAATTGGCAAGCCATGCCGTAATCACCAACTTTTTGTTCCATACCCATCCCACGCCGAATCTTCTTGGCATGTGTCGTGCATTGGGCTAGTTCAAAGACAGTCAGAAGGTCTTGAGATTTGGCCCAGAAGCATTCTTTGGAGGCGTAACCCAGGACTTGTGGCGAGACAACTTCTTGGAGAGAGACCTTTGCCATTCCCAGAAGCTCGGCCAGCTCTCCGCGCCGCGCCCATGACGAATTGGGGTCTCGTACACAAGTGCCGTACGCCCTCACAGTGCCGCATTCGGCGAACCCTGCCGTTACGTGTGATCCATTGTTGTTTAAAGGCTGCTTCCGGCTTTCGTCTCTCGTGATATAACAAAACCCGCGTTTCCTGTTCTCTTCCCCCGGGAACGCTTTTGTCTATTTGCCTCCCCTTTGACGCGCCGCAAAGAACAATACACTGTCGCTCATAAGTGCCCTCATGGTGAGTTGATCAGGCCTTTCCTGTCCATCTGTTGTTTCCATCGACTCTAATAAATAACCTCCCACGGGGAGTGCAGCCTCGCAAACCTGCACAACGCCCCTCGCTGTTACCAGGGATACCATGAAGCTGACCTGGTTGGACGAGCCCAAGAAAGGGGACGACATCCACGGCCGCGGGCTCAGCGCCAGCCTCTTTACTGCGGACTACACCATCAACCAGACACTGCACGGGCGGTCGCACGCGAATGCCAGACGGTTGAGTATAGATGTGCCTCCCGACTACGTAGTGCTTGAGACGTTCGTCTCGTCCCCGGGCACGTCAGAGAGCACCACCGATTCCTGCCAGACGCCCAAGAAACTCAACAAGATAGACGACCCGGGACCACTGTCTCTATTGTCGAAACCGACATTTCCTCTTGGAGATGGCGGGTTTCACAAGGAGCGGCCCAAGTGGACAACCCGGCAATGGGACAACCTCGTCACCTTTGCACAATTTATTGGGCCCGGATTCATGATCGCTGTTGCGTATAGTAAGTCGAAGATAGCAGGCGTGAAGGAGCCACACGGGGACTGACCATCCTCCGCAGTTGACCCCGGGAACTACGCCACGGACATCGCCGCCGGCGCGTCGTATCACTTCAACCTCCTGTTTATTGTCCTGCTGAGTAACGTTGTGGCGGTTTTCCTCCAGAGCCTCGCTATCAAGCTCGGCACGATCACGGGCCTCGACCTGGCCACCGCAACCCGCGTGTTCCTCCCCAAGTGGCTCAACCTCATCATCTACGCCCTCGCCGAGGTCGCCATCATCGCGACCGACATGGCTGTTGTCATCGGCACGGCGACGGCCTTGCACTTACTAATACCAAGGCTGCCGCTGACTGTCTGCGTCGCCTTGACTGTCCTCGACGTCGTCTTTATCGTGGTTTTTTACCGGCCCGACGGCTCGATGCGGGGGCTGAGGATCTTCGAGATCGGCGTCTGCATCTTGGTGCTCGGGGTTGTTGTATGTTTCTGCATCCAGCTTTCTCTAATCGAGAACACGACAATCGGCCAGGTCTTCCGGGGCTATCTCCCATCTAGCTCCATCATCCAGAATCAGGGGTAAGCGGCAGCAGCCCAGCCCGACCCCACACCTCTCCTGGAGAGCATTGTCCTGGCTAACATATCCAACTACTCAGTCTGTACCAGTCTTGCGGTATCCTAGGGGCGACGGTCATGCCGCATAGCATTCAGCTCGGCTCCGGCATCGTGCAGTCCCGCCTCAAAGAGTACGACACCAAGGAGGGCAACTTCCAGGAGACCCCCCGGTCCGACACAATGATGACGGACGGCAGCTACCGCAAGGTGTTTTACTTCCCCTCCATGGCGGCCATCCAGCACTGCATGAAGTTCTCCATCGCCGAGATCGTCCTCTCCCTCTTCATCTTCGCCCTCTTCGTCAACTCTGCCATCCTCATCGTCGCCGGCGCCGCCATGTACCATGGCGAGACGTCCTTCGCCCCGGACATCTTCGGCATGCACGACCTTCTGGCCAACAGCATCTCGTCCGCCGCCGGCATCATCTTCGCCTTTGCCCTGCTGCTGTCCGGCGTCTCGGCGGGGCTGGTCTGCACCATCTCGGGCCAGCTCGTCAGCGAGGGCGCACTCAACTGGCGCATGCGGCCGTGGCTCCGCCGCCTCATCACGCGCGTCATCAGCATCGTGCCCACCGTCGTCGTCGTCGCCCTCGCGGGTCGGCATGGGCTCAGCAATGCGCTGACGGGGACGCAAGTCGTGCTCAGCACCGTGCTGCCCGTCATCACGGCGCCCCTCATCTACTTCACCTCGCGCGACAAGTACATGACGGTCGTCCCCGGCGCCGCGAGCTACGGGTGCGACACCGGCGTCGTGCCGGCGAGGCGGTACAGCACTGTGGGCGTCAAGATGGCCAACTCTTGGTGGTTGACGGTGCTGGCCGTTCTGATCTGGCTGATGATCACGGTCATGGTGGTTGCGAACCTGGTCTTGTTGCTGAAAAGCACCGCGGGGTAGTGCGGACTATTGCAGATGGGACGTGCGAAAGAAGGGAAATGGGGGACGGGAGACGGGCGTGGGCGAACGATTGCGCCATGACTTGACGAACTGATGAAATTTCTTCTTCTCTGGCACCAAGCGTTGCGACGTTGTGTTTTCTCATTCATCTCGGGTTGCCTTGTTTCGTTATAAAGGAGCATTGTACTTATGAGGAAGGTTTGATTGAGTTTTGTAGATACGAGACCGAGTCCGTGACGCGACGCCAACACCACCAAACCACGCTCATGACCCCTCCTCGCCTGTTGTTGAATGATGACTTCGCTCAGCGTTGGGTCCTGGACGAAAAAAGGATCGAGAATAGCGAGTTCGAACTGTCTGTAAACATGGGATAGGGAGGTTGGGCGGTCTTCCAGAAGGCTTTGGAGCGAGCGGGCGGACATCTTCGTTCGAATAACATCTCGTTTTCAAATCGTTAGAGAAATTGACGAAAGTCAAGCGGTTATAGACGTAAAGGGCTGAAATAGAGAGAGAGCCCTTCATCTGTTCACCTATTCTGCGCCACTAATACACGCAAACCCCGCCGTCCCATGCATTATCCCCCGACCCAAACGCCAAAAGTTCCACGTAGCAAAAAACGAAACCTCACTTCTTCGCCCTCCGCTTCCCCTTCCTCTCAGGAACACTGACGCTCCCCTCCGCAACCTCACCAGCCTCGACCTTCCCTTCGCTCTCCAGCTCCTTGAGCTTCTGCTGGCCCGAGATGAACATGCTCAGGTCGCGGTTCATCTCCTCCAGCTCCGCAATCTGCGCCTTGTACTCCCCGTCCTTCTTCCGGAGCGCCTCGACCTCGGCGTTGTTATGCTCCACGCGCTTCATCAGCCCCTGCGTTACCTGTTTCTCCTCCTGAAGGGCCTTTCCCATGTTGCGGGCAAGCTCCTGGGCTTTGGTGGCCTTGTTGCGGTCCCGCTCCGCGTCGCGCTCGAGTTGGGGGATGACCTGCGTTCGAAGGCGGGTGAGCTCTGCCTTGAGGTTCGCGTTCTCTTCCAACGCTGCGGCGGCCTGCGTCGAGGCGGACTCGGCGGTCGCGGAGGCTTTGGAGGCCTTGTCTGCTACTTTGCTCAACATTTCCTCAAAGTACACCCGCTGTGACTCGAGTTGACTCGTCAGGAGATGCGTGTACTCCAGACCGATGTTATCCAACTTTGCCCGCGGGACAGTGTCCTCGTACCCGCCTTCAGGGCTGTGGTGATGCCTGTTGCTCCCTGGAAGCTCGACAACCTTGCCATCCCCCTTGTCGCGAATCAGACGGTGGACCCAGGTGTCGCCAGCGTAGTCCCACACATGCTGCGTTTCCAGCTCCAAAGCGAAGCTATGTGCTGTCTCCTTCCAGTGGTCCTTGGCGTGGCCACCCTTATACCGGCCGCAGCCCACGTTGCCGCAAATGAGGCAGATCCACAGATCATCTGTGGAATCGCACACACTACAGAGATTCGACACTGATGATCCGAACGGCTGAGTATACGGGTTCGACGGATCGTAGGCCGTCTCAGGGTTTGTATGTCGGCAGACCGGGCATCCTGAGCCTTTCCAGTTCTGCAGACAAGTGCAGTGGAAGACGTGTTGGCAGGGAATGGTCATCAGCCCAGTTGTGTCGTCCATCCGTTCGAGGCACACTGGACAGGTCGGCAGTTCGACGAGACTCGGTGTTGGCGGGGGGAAGGGCTTCAAGCTGCTTGAAGCAGTAACCGAGGAGGAGGAAGGTGTGAAGGGATCGTGGTTGAGGTCGGGAAACGTGCGATTTTCCCTCGTGGGCGTCTCGAATGTGATCGATTTGACAAAGACGACATGACAAACTTGCGCCTGCGAGAAGTTTGTCAGGGGTGGGTTTACCAGTTATTAGTTGCTGCGACTTCTCACCTCCATGCTGTTGAACACCTTTCCGTTGAACTCCTTCTGCCACTCGCGCGCCCTCTTGCTGTTCCTGAACTTCAGTAGCACGAGGTACCGGTTCATCCTGGCCGTCATGACCATTCTGTAGTGGCTGATGTCGTCCCTCCATTTCTCGCCAACATATCCAAGGAAGTCGCCCGGACTAAGGTAACTGGGAACCGCAGGTATACACAGCGTCGTACATTCCTCCGCCTCGACGCCCTCGTCTTCTGAAGGCGGCAGTCCCAATCCAGGCGTGTCCTCCTCTTCGCGATAGAAATGCACCACCCCCCAGCCGACCTCTGTGTTTTTCGTCTCTAGCGGAACGTACTTCGCCTTGGTGGACTTCCCTGTGCCGCCAAACGTCGGACCGACGCCCAAGTCTGCCGCAGAGCTCGCTGTCTCGGTCGCCATCTGGTTCGTATGCGCGTTGCTTTCCAGGTCCACGTCAATACTCTCGATGCTCACTCGCCCGAAACGCCAGTCCCTGACGGCCGCCTCTGGTCGTAGCGCAGCTGATGAAGGTGGAGGGGGGAAGCTCTGCGTGCGCGCCCTCCACTGCCTCTCTGGTATTCTCTCGATGTTGCTGCCACTGTTCTCTTTAACTGGTGCCCTTGAAGGACCACAGTCGATTAGGTTGGGACTCGGACTCTCGATCGGCGCACGCAGTGTACCCGACCTGTAGGTATCGGCGGGGTAGGGGGATTCGAATGACTGCAGTGGCGAAGGCTGCGGTCGGTATGAACTGTTCGCTTGTCTGGATTTCTTCTTCGAATGTACAGGAAGCTCGGCAAAGATGTCGGCGCCTCTCGGAGGAAGCCAAAGATCCTTGTTAAACACCGCTGCTGCTTGGGCTTTCCCTTTGGTCTTCGTTGCGTCACCTATCGCGGGGCTGGAGGTGGGATAGAGCTCAAACTTCAAGTGGTAGAAGAAGGACCGCATAGCCTCTCTCAGCCTTACCAGGCGCACGTTCCTGGGCGATGCCGCTGCCGTTTCAGTCTTTGGCAAACTTGCGGATGATTGAGAGAAAAGTAAAAACAATTCAGGGGAAAATCAAAAGCCGCTATGGGGGCAGAAGAACATGTATTTCTAGGCGTTTCCAAATGTTCCGTGAGCTCCTCATGTCGTGGCGCAACACGGAGGCGAGCCAAATGTGTGTGTATTCTGGAGAAGATCAATTTGGATGCAAGGCTCCAGTAGCTACGGATACTGTGGGAGGATTTCACTGTGACCTGCCTGCCCCGCTGTCGCATGGACGGCTCCACTGTGTACGTCACTGATAAGAGACCAATGCAGCTCACATGTAAACTCTACCTATCCAATCACGAAGTTAGGGTGCGGAACGAGGAAAAGAGATTGACTTCAAATAGAGTCTGGTATTGAAGCGCTTTCGTGAGCGCAAGGTTCCTAGCTAATGCTTAGGTATGTGTGAAAAGTTCATCCATGCCATATCCCTTAATCATAACCCATGAACGCCGGTGCCTTGAAACAGGCAGTTTCCATATGTACCGAGGCCATCGCTTACTGACCGCCACGCAGACGGAGGACAAGGTGGAGCGTCGACTCCTTCTGAATGTTGTAATCGCTCAGGGTGCGACCGTCCTCCAGCTGCTTTCCGGCAAAAATAAGACGCTGCTGGTCAGGAGGGATACCCTCCTTGTCTTGAATCTTGGACTTAACGTTGTCGATCGTGTCCGAAGACTCAACCTCGAGCGTGATTGTCTTTCCAGTCAAGGTCTTGACAAAGATTTGCATACCTCCGCGCAGACGAAGGACGAGGTGGAGAGTCGACTCCTTCTGGATGTTGTAGTCGGACAAAGTGCGACCATCTTCAAGCTGCTTTCCGGCGAAAATCAAACGCTGCTGATCGGGAGGAATGCCCTCCTTATCCTGGATCTTGGACTTGACGTTGTCAATGGTATCGGATGATTCGACCTCGAGTGTGATGGTCTTTCCGGTCAAGGTCTTGACAAAGATTTGCATACCACCACGGAGTCGAAGGACCAAATGAAGGGTAGATTCCTTCTGGATGTTGTAGTCGGAAAGGGTGCGGCCATCCTCAAGCTGCTTGCCGGCAAAGATCAAGCGTTGCTGGTCAGGAGGGATACCCTCCTTGTCCTGGATCTTGGACTTGACATTGTCGATGGTGTCAGAGGACTCGACCTCAAGGGTGATGGTCTTGCCAGTGAGGGTCTTGACGACTGGTTGGGGGGTCAGTAACGGTGGAAAGGAGCAGTGCATAGCAGAACAACTTACAGATCTGCATACCACCACGAAGGCGGAGAACCAAGTGGAGGGTAGACTCCTTCTGGATGTTGTAGTCGGAGAGGGTGCGGCCGTCCTCAAGCTGCTTGCCGGCAAAGATCAAGCGTTGCTGGTCGGGAGGGATACCCTCCTTGTCCTGAATCTTGGACTTCACGTTGTCGATGGTGTCAGAGGACTCGACCTCGAGAGTGATGGTCTTGCCGGTAACTATTGCGGAAACGTTAATAACTGGTGGATGAAGGGACGGTCTGGGGTGGGAGGCAACTTACGGGTCTTGACGAAGATCTGCATGATGGCGACTTCTTGTTCTGTCTGTGTGTTTGGGAGTGATTATTCGTAACTTGAATGTTCGTGATCGAGGGATTCGCTAATGAATTTCGCTGAGCGAGAGCGTATTGGTAGAGGATGTATCAGGAAGAATCGGAAGATGAGTGGGAGGAAGAGGTGAAGTGGTTTAAATACCAAGGATGGAGGTTGGCCCGGGTCGGTCTGTTGGAGGAGGGAAGGAACGGGCTGGGTGGTGACTGACTGCGGAAGGCAGGCGAAAGGGAAGGGGGAGGAGGCGCTTGATTGGAGGCGCAGGGACTAAAGAGTGGAGCAGATTATGCAGCGAGTGCCTTGTCTGGGGGAATGGCGAATGATTCATCAGCAACTGCGCAAGTACCACACAGCGTTGAGATACCTGTAAGCAGGAGCAAGCCGGAACCCTCCAGAACCAAGTGGGGGTTTCGGCGGAAAGTAGAGGTACCTAGATCCCCAACGGAACAACTGGCGAAATAGTATCACGAGTAAGTATCGGTAACCCTTTATCTTGGCTATCGGGCCAGGTACGTTTGGCCGCTGGAACTTTGACTGCTGTGCCGGATTGGATGTCTCAGTTGACGGTTGGCCGCTGGCCGCCGCCACGCTTTCTTTGATCAGATGGTCTCGTTCATGCCACCGCTGCAACCCTCCTTAGTCCTACGGAACCAGTTGACACAATGCGGCTTTTCCGGAGTGAGAGAGAGAGAGAGAGAGCGCGCGATCAAAGATTTGCGTTTCCTTTGAACCTGAAAGATGAGAAATCTCCGAAGGGAAAAATAAAGAAAAGAAAAAAGATCACGATACCTAGTCTGTTGTTTCCCCAGAATGCCTTGGGGGGCGCGCTATCGGTGAGGAACTGATGGGTCGATACAGCCCCTCTTCTCGGGAGCTCATCAATCCCTGTAGCTGTTTCTCCCCCCGAAGACGCAAACATTCAACAGCTCGTCGTCATCGTCTACGATAGTGTTGGGGCTGAAGCACTCGCCGAGAGCATCAGCCTGGAATGCTCGTCCTGTCCTGCGGTGTCCGTATTCGACAATGGGAAAGGGAAAAGTTGGCCATGGTTCGTTTGGCATCTCACTGGAATCGCCGTGTCTCACTGCCTTGCAGACGAAGTCAGCCCCCCAAGGTCAAAGACATCCGACCCGACCGCGGACTGTCTGACTATGTCTGGACAAACAAGCGCCCCACCCGCCACCCTGATGCCAGCCGGTCCAGGCGCCCTCCAGAAACAATGAACTGACTGCGCAAAAAGCTTTGTGTCACACCGGTCGCTCTCACATCCCGGAAATCGCCACCTTTGCAGCCTCTTAGTCAGTCTTCGCATCGTCCGAAGACTCGCTTCGCCTGCCTTACCCGTACAAAAGCTTCTATTGACTTCAGAAGAACATGTATGATATCAGCGGCCAGTCAGTCAGTGAGTCCTCCATCGTTACGAGCGCAGCGTTCAAGTGCGGAGAAAGAGAGGTACAACAGGCCAGACCGGGATTAGACCAGAACCCGACGTCATCCCCCACCAAGACCACCCAACCTCTTCGTCTCTAGATTTACCTGAACCATCGCCCGAACGAGAACAAAAACCTCAACAACCCTTTCGGCCATCCCTAACGATAGTCGGAACGATCAGCCGAGGGTTGCATGCGACTGAACATGCCTCAAGAAACCACGAGTGACGACGAACCATCGCCGAGCAACCTCCGTCCCTTCTTCACAAACTTTCCCTCGTCCCCCACCCTTTCGAGGGACTGACGCTTTCGTTATCTACCGAGGAATGGACGATGGTGACACTGGTGTTCTCCAGCTCGGGCCTCATCGCGACCGACCGAGTGCTTCGCTCGCACCGGCATGGCCACGCCTGATAACAGTAGGTTACATGCAACCCCGAGTCCCCTGTCAACGTGGCAGACCGCAAACACCATGGTAGCGTAACACCACTATCTGCATCTCTCCTCCAGCCTCCCTCCCCTGCTATCATTGCATTGGTCACAACCGCGTCAAAGTTCGCTTCCTCCCTCCACTGCTCTTACTTGGTCGGAACATGATCCTGCTACCTAGGTATATTGAATAATCTCGCAGCGGTTCATCCCCTTGTCAGATATGAGATCCTAGTCGGCTGCGCCACGATGGTTGCCACTTTATCTTTCGAATGGTATGTGCCGTCTTCAATCATCATATGGCGCCTCATTTCAATCAACGAGTTCAAGAGTGCATAAAGAATTGGAAGAACATGAAACAAACAGCCTGATATATCGATCTTTGGCTTAACTACAACAAGTAATGCCTATAGCGGCCAATGTGCCCTTTCCAAAGCTTGTCTGGAGGGTGTTTTTTGCCCCAGGGCCTTTCCCTTTCGCCCAATTCCAATGCATATCGTAATCGTCTACGCTTGCTATGCTCTGTCGTTTGCCTGTCGTGCCGGCATGATCGTCTCCATGAACATCTCTGGCGCATGTCGCGTCTCTCTTGGCCGCTGCGCAGCCCTTCGCGCCAGCGCGCGACCACAGACCACCACCCCCCGAAGTTTCGAGTCATACATTCGTAATTTGAATCATGATAAAAGGTCGTAACACATCGCGATGAATCGTCGTGGTGGGGAGGTGACCAGCCGAAAAGAAGCGAACTGAGGTGTGTGGGGAGTGATACTGCGCGTATGTGTGGTGTCTCGTTTCAACGCCGTCGCTGTGACTCGAAATAACAAAAGAAATGAAAAGAAATCGCCCACCCGAGGCATTTTCCAAGAAATCATAATCTCAAGAAATATATGGCAGCAATATAGCACAGTAGGGGGCTTTAGTTGGCCCGGATGACGAGCTTCGACAGGAACTTGTTGGACAAGCAGTCAAAGTCGTTGCGATCGAAGCTGGCGTCAGGGCGAGTACGCAGGTACGCCTCTAATCAAATCGTTAGTATAATCTACCAATATCGCCATATTGTTGCGGTGTAACTTACCGTGCTTGATGACATGCTGACGAACTTCGGTCATGGCCTCGCAGACGGCGACGTTGTTGTTGAGGAGGTGACCGTGCTTGGCGGTGTCCCAGTCCATAAAGGCTGGAAGCTTCTGGGAGATGGCGTGGAAGAGGCCAACAATGACACCGACGGGAGTAGTCTCCATGTCGTTGCAGAACTTGTTGACGGCAGCCGGGTCGGGGACGCGGTAGTGGCAGTCGAACTGCATCTCCTCCCAGACGGCAAGAAGAATGGAGGCCAGCATGAAAATGGTGGGCCAGTTCTTGAGGCGCTCTCCGCTATACACGCTCGAGTACAGAGCAGACAACTCCTCGAGAATCTCCTTCTGCAGCTCGCGCCACATGTCGGCCATGGCGCACTTGATCTGGAAGTTGATCATGACAGGGGCGACGGTCTTGCCGTAGAACTTTGAATCCTCGTCATCAATCTGACCATCAAGGGGGATTTCCTCGCCTTGGCTCTCAACCATGGTGATGTGCAGGGTGAGGTTGTAGGCAAGCACCAGCTTAAGGGCCTTGCGGATGACGGGCATACGCTCCTTGACGTAGTAGCGGTGAGCCGTCTTGAGGATCTCTGTGATGAAGGGCGTGCCCTCAAAGTGGTCCTCAATGAAGTCCTCGAAGCCACCATCGATGTGCTTGTCAAGGTAGTCGGACAGAGCCTCAACGGAAACGCCCTTGGCACCGACATCAAGTCTCTCGGTGCGGAGCTCGAAGTCGATGGGCTCCTGGTCGGTCAGGCAAGACTCAACCCAGTCAACCTGGAAGCAGCTCTCGTCCGCGACGTAAACCTCGCGGACGTAGACGGGGAGGGCAAAGCCGTAGCCGTGAGTGATCCACATGATTGTCTCGTTCTGGGCGAAGCCCTTGACGTTGTAGACCGAGACACCGCGACCGAGATGGCGCTCGTAGTCGGCCTTCCAGTCCTTCATGAAGTAGCCAATGTCCTTGATATCGATGCGGGTGCAAGGAACCTGCCAGAGTCTAGCGTGAGACGGCTGGCAACCAGCACACGGCTCGCCCTTATCGCAGGTCTTCTTCAGGAACTTGCAGCGCAGGCAGGCACGGAGCTTTCTGATCTCGCTGGCCTGCTTACGCTGTTCGGGAAGAAGGGGGCCTTTCCTGCGGCCAACCTTCTTCACCTCGGTGCCGTCCTTCTTGCCGGTTGAAGTGCGGCGGATGACAGCCTTGGTAGCCTTGCCGGTAACGGGGCTTCGCCTTTGACCCGAGTTTCTCCGAGCGGTCGTAAGGATGGGGGGAGATGTGGCACCGGAGCCGCTGGCGGGCGTAGGCCGGGGGGGCGTGGTCGAGCTCTTGATCGCCATGGGAGGAACGGCCGCTGCGGGGCTGGCTGTGTCGTGGTTGTGAGCATGAGCGTGGGCATGGGCATGAGCATGAGCGTGGTTGTGGGCGTGGCCGTGGCCGTGGTTATGGCTGTGGTTGTCTCCGAAGCAGTTGCGATGCGATCCAGCATCGACGTATCCATCGGACTCGGGTGAGAAGGGCGAGATGGGGAACGGGGCGATCTCCTCGTAGCTGCCAAGCTCAAATGAATTGGCGCCGTCCGACGAGTCCGAGTTGGTTCTTAGGTGCAGCGTCTGGCCGGGGTTGAAGATGGCGGCGTTGGGCTGGGCCTGCTGGAAGTGGTCGAATCCTGCTCCGGAACCCTGCTCGACGACCATTGACCACCCCTCACCGTTGCTGGAGCTGGGCAGAGACAGGACCTCGAGGAAAGTGCCGGTCGGCGAGTTGCTGCCGATGCTATGTGAGAGCCCCTCGATCTGAAGAGCCGAGGCGGCAGCCTGGATGTCGTGCCAGCTCTCCATCCCCAAGTTCCAGTTCATGGCGGGAACAGTCTCATCCATGGGCGGCATGGTGTTGAATGCAGATGCGAGTTGGAAATTTGCCGCCTGCAGCGCTTGCGTCGTCGCGGGAAGGAAGTCAATGGGATTTGTCTGGAAGCCAGGGGCATACGGGTTGTATGTGACGGGCATATAGGCGTCGGGGACGAACTGGGAGTAGTCGGGCAATCCATGAGGCGTCTGCTGTTGTTGATGCTGGTGCTGTTGAAGGGCCCAGTCGGTCAGCGAGTTGACGGGTTGCTGATACGGCGAATGGTGAGAGTGCTGGGTCAGAGGTGATGAGCTATGTGAGGGCGAATGGGCTTGCTGATCCTCGGGAGGACTCGAGGCTGCGACATTGGAGGACATATCCAAAGGGATGGGCCAGATCCTCTGAGCGGGCATGTTTGTGATGCTCTGGGGGCTATTCTGGGACGAAGGGATTTGCGAGGCGTAGGAAAACCGGTCCCGCTGGTCGAAGGAGGAGAGGTCCAAGAGGCCGTCGCCTCCACTCGAATCAAAGTTAACGTTCATGTTGGGTGAGATCAGTCGTGGGAAAAGGTCCAACAAGGGAATAGGTGTAAGTCGAGGGACGGGAGTTGGTGCGCAGATATGGGCTTTTTCCTCAAGACACCGCTCTTTCGTCGGGGCGTCGAGGATGTGGATGAGGGCAGCAAGAGGACCTTCTACGCTGACGACCAAGATTTTGGGGGACGGCAAAGGTGGGTTGAGAGGGATTCAGGTGGTGAGAGAGGCGAGGGGACTTGGTCGGGGGGCCAGAAGCGGGCATGCGTGGGTGAAGAGGAACGGCGACGAGCCCGCGAAAGAAGCGGTGAGAGAGATGCAGTTGAACGTCCAGCCCCGGCCGGGAGCCAGAGCCAATGAACAGGGCCGGTTGTCCTTCTGCAGCTGCACAAGTGTGGAGCGAGGACGACCGGGGGGGGGGGATGGCTGCTCTATTCGCGCCAGTAAACTAGAAGGAGGGTTGGCGGATGGGGGGGAGGGGATGATGCTGGGAAGGTGGAAGGGGGGGGCGGCTGCTCACGAGGACCACTTTGTAACCCGAGCTCGTCCAATCAGCCGGCCGTCTCCGTGTGAGTGAGACCGTGTTATAAATGAGTCGATACTGTATTTTGCAGGCTGGCCAAGCCTCCACGTTAGCGGGTAAGAAACTGTGGGTGGGATGGGCGGTTGCAAAACGTGTCGCTAACAGTGGGCTAGATGTTGGGCCCTCGTCCCATCAGACCCTGTCCATGGCAGAATGGCTGGAAAGTTGATATTGGATGGACGGCGCAGAAAAAAAGCGAGACCAGATACTAGTAGCTCTTAACGGTACGTACCCAGTGCAGTGTCTACCACCTCCACATAACGGTACTTAACATTCCCGCTATCGCAGCCGCCATCAGTGCTTAGGTAGATACCTATCTAGGTAGTGGGTAGGTAGTGTGGGTGCGATACGTACCTTGCAGGGTAGGTATCCATCATGTACGTACCTGCCTCCCATTGCCCTCCACCTTGGAAGCGTCAATGGAAACGTTCTTTCCCGCCTTTGGCGACGTTCTGAACCCTCCTCCTCCTCCTCCTCTCCACCTTCGCGATATCCATGTAAAGTCACTCTCATTCTCACTGTCACTCTCACCTTTGCTCTCGCCATTGTTCCTCTCTTGTTCTCTGCCCTCTATTCTTGTTCTCAAGTACAAGCAAGTCTCGCACTTGTACACATTTGGGAAATCATCGCCGGCGATAGTCGCTCTTGCTACCGTGGTTGGACAACGCTGCTCCGCCTCGTATCTCTGCTCTCTATCACGATTCATGAGCACAGCTACTGCCTCAGGATTGACGAGCACACAAATCAGCCATCGCGGCTCCAACGGCTCGCTTCTCTATCTCTCTCATTTTGTCTCCTGCAGTATCCGCACCAAAAATGCGCACGCAATCTCCTGATCCAGATTCCACATTCCAGAGCAATCCTCGTGCCTGCAGCACGCAGGGCCAAAGAGGCAGTAGTCTAAAACAGTTTGTTCCGGATAATGATCCACTGGACCTCCTCTCGCCCTCTTCTCTTCAGATGAGCCCTTCACGAGCCTGTAGCTGGACCTGGTCATCGGCACTGGGCTGCAAGCTTGAACCGCTCCCTCGCCTCTCGCTCACTTGACGCTGCTGCAGCCGCCACCGCCGGCCATTCTTAGCGGTTGTCGCCAAACAAGCGTCCGGCGTCATCCACCAAGTCGATCCCTCTTCCGGGCTGGACGAGAAGTGACTGAACTACTGACTGATAGATGGGTGATGGTGTGTGTTTGCGTGCGCTATGCGTTCTGCCTGTACAGGGTCACCCCGATCTGCAACTCTGCAAAACAGAGCCGGTCGGGCTGCCCCCGAAGCATTCGTCCGTTCTTGCGATGCGGAATACGCGGTTTACATACAATACACACGGCCCACGGACGTTGGCCGGTGGCTGATCAGGGCACCATTCGATCAGCATCCAACCGTGCTCCCGTCCTCCTTTAGCCACTGTAAAGTAAATAGTTTACTTACCCGGGCAGTACATACTAGGGTAGCTCCAAGTGGGTGGGTGGCCTGGAAGTATACAATGAATGGCGGTTGTGCGACTCGCAACGACGCGGCGAAGCGGCGCAGCTGGCAAGCCAAAGGACAGCACAGCACAGTACACAGTGCCAAGCGGGCAATGGAGAGGCAAAGGCGCACGCAGACTAACCTTTTACGAAATGATCAGCTCCTTCCTCCTCACGGCAATGAACCGGCTGCCAACGGGCAACTCTATCTGCACCTCGCATCAACGGCACTTCGGCCCCTCCCCCCCCTCTTCTCTTCTCTTCTGTCCTTCGTTCCGGCAGGGTCTCGTCCGTACTAAGAGGTACACACTGTGTATCGCCGTTGCTTGCAGCTCGCGTATCCATCTAAGAGTGAGTGGCATCATGTCCAACCCCCCCCTGACAACCAACATCGACGACATCAATAAAGTGGCATCGTTGTCGCCCTGTTTCTACAAGCGGTAACACCGAGCAAACAAGTCCAAGGTTTTCAACCGGGCCACCCTCTGGACAACCTCGGTCAATAGAAATCAATCAGTCCTCGTCCGCGGGAAACCTGGCTCTCTTGGACCCTCTCCCATGATGCCAAGCCCACCGTGGCTGGGGGAGAATCAGGGCCGCACCCCTCTCACCACCGACTAGACCCTTCGGAGTTTTCAACCCGCCCCGCCTCCTACGGTACAATACCACCACCCACCACAACCAGAGCCCCCCCCCCACGAGCATGGACCAAAGCAACCATGGGCGACTCGCCTGCTACGCAAGGTCTCGATCGTGAGTTGCCGCAGATCTAGTTTACCATCAGTACTCCGTATTAGCAAACACAAGCCTGAAAATCTTCTCATACGGGAAGCCCACTGCAGTGGATAACAACAGGTCCCTAGTCCGTACGCCTGCGCAAGCTCGCCGTATTCATACGATACACCACTCTGTAAATACGGATCCGGGACACCCTTACGAATACAAGCATGCCGAGTAGCTCAAAAGACGACGCAGCCGCTCGCAGTCGGCTCAACAAAAACTCAGGCGAACCGCGAGACCTTGCACGCTCCTCATAAACCCTGGCTGCCGTATACGTAGGTATTCGCAGTTCTCCCCTCGGCCGATGAACCGTACCATGGCTCCATGCCCCCGCTGCAGACTGCAGGTGGGCTAAGCCACCTTTACCAATGGCCCAGCGATTTTGGCAACAACGGAACGGACTTGATGTCTCCGAGGCCCCTCTCCCTCCCCACATCATGGAGACGACCTGCGTCCGGATTGCCTTCTTGCAGACCCCGCCTCTGCTGGGGCGCTCTCCTGCATGTTGGCTGGCCAGCTTCGACCGTCCGTAGCTGGCCTCGGGCTATTTTGGAACGGTTCAATGGCCTCAAAGCTGGTTGCCTGGTCGTGACGGATGGGCGATACGCGATGCTGCCATGGCACGGTGAACGGGTCATACGGTTTAGTGGGAACCTCCTCACGGGAATGATTTCTTCCTGGAGGATCGCTGAATCATGCGCCTAATTGTTCGACGGTTCGCTGGCTGTCAAGGCCGTCATCCCCCCTGTGGTTGGCTAGAAAATCCGGTCTAGCCCGAGCACCAGGTGGATCGCGGAGTGCCAGTCCAGAGACCATTGCGAGGCTTCAGCAGATACCTATCCTATTCCTCCTCGATGGTACAAAGTATGTGTATCCGTGCATAAACTAGTGGCTCGTCACAGCAAGGAGGGTGCGCAGCTCGTAACCTGCCAAACAAACCAGTCGCAGATGACGAAACAAGTCGCAGCACAGGGTCCAGGCTTGCTCGTCGAGCAGCCGGGCTTGACGCGGCGCGGGCAATCAGCCAGCGGCAGCTTAACACGACGGGCTAATACCCACCTCCTATCACGGATCATGTCTGGCGTTGTGTTGCGAGGCTGCTCGAATCAGGGTGCATCCCAACCTCGAAAGACCCCTCTTGCTTTGAGTAGGCGATCAATGGCACAAGCGGGAGCCTCTTTTCACTACTACGTAGTATGTATGTAGTAGCCCTCCTTTGCCGCGAGAGCATGTTCCCCCCTATTGGCTTCGCCTGCGAACCAGGCACATCAGATCTGCGCCTGTCTCCCGATTGATACGGCCTGTTCCCAGCTCCTCCAGTCCACCAAGATAGCCACACCCTGCCAGCAGCCACATGCGATAAGGGCAACGGACGTCGGGTTTCTTAGGCGATGGTTGTTCCGACATGTCCACTTGCAAAGACACACCACACCGTTCTAGTCGGTGATGGCGATTCATGTGCCAGTTGCCCTCTTCTTGGTTGCCCGCATTTATGGCATAAAAATGGCACATCATCTTGCATACCCTCTCTACCTCTAACCATCTTGGTTCTCTGCCACCTGCTGTTGGTCGGTCGGACTCCACACGAACCGGACAATCACTCACTAGACACGAGGTATTCTAAGAAATCGAGATGCCACGCGTGTGGTCTCAGTCACGCATCCGCCAAAGTCTACGTCGTACAAACGCCCCAAAGCCCAGGACCCGTTGTCAGAAAAGCCATCTGTCTTGTTTGAGCTGCGAACCTCGTGCCAAAGTGAACCACAGTTTCATGGTCAAATCCGGCCCGACACCGGGGGTGGCGGACAATGCAAGAAGGCCAACGAAATACCTATAGTAGACCAGCAGCAACGCTGCGGACAAGAGCCATAGCTCTGGAGGAGCCGCCCGGGAAGGGGATCGCTCAGGTACGGTCATCTCTCCCCGCCATCGCCCCCCTCTTCCGTGCCCGCCCTCTTGAACGGCAAAAGAAACCTGCCGCAAACCATCCCCTGGATTTCGAATTGCGGTGTGAGATTTTCCGTCTGAAAGAAACGCCTGGAGGTGCCCGTCGGCCAATCACATTGGCCCGTCTGTTGGGCGTTGGCGGGATTCGCCCCGAGGACGTTGTCAGCCTGCTGTCTTCCTTGCATTTCCGTGATGCAAGTAATGCTTCCCGCTACTGTCTGGACTCTTGGAAGACAGGCGACTATTTGAGGCTATGGTCGATCAATCCGGAACGTCGGCTCAACCTAATTTAGTTGCATGGTCGTCTTCGAGTCCGCGACAATAGCTCGTCGAGTGGCAATCGATTCGTCGAGTCGATAAGAGTTCAAGTTGAACCACGGGAAGTCCAATTGGTATGGTGACCTCTGTAATATCTGATTGCGTATGAGACAGATTGGTTACCGTGACCCCTCCTACGACCCCTCCTTTCTCGACGCGGGGCACCGGACCTCCTCCTTCTCCTTGGTCCGTTCAATCACGCTTCCATCTCTCACGGCCGCCATCACCGATTAAGGTTATCGATGGCGCGGGCCTCAATGCCACCACAGCGCCGTCCACCTCTAGTGGAAACGCGCTCGGATCTCTCAAAGATCTTGACCGCTTATTGTTGATGCCAGAGGTGTGTGTGGGTGTGTGTGGCTCAGGCTCTGCAATCGCTTCCAGCGTCGTCTATCAGACTGCCACCATGTCTAGACCGCAATCATATAAACGTAATTAACACCTTGCGGTGGGCTCGGAATGTTCCCCAATAACGGGAGAGGGTTACTCTCTGGATGCAGCCGGCAAGTGCACGCAGCTGAAGATATCCGGATCCTCTCGAATGGAGCAACACACGCGAAATACGTGCTCCTTGGCTCATGCAGGGACGTGACGATGATGTGCTGGCTCCAGTCGTATCCCGGGCAAGGACTGACCGCTCGGCCGTGCGAGGGCGGAAAAACTTGGATGCCGCACACAACGTACATGCGTGCGCGCATGTGTTTGTGTGTGTGTGTGTGTGGATATGCCGTCCCTATCGTCCGCAGGCAGCCGTTTACCCCTTCTTGTAAAGCAGGTGCTGCCGCCGACACTGCTTAGGTCATTTCGTATCATCCCCATCATATGTTGTCATGAAACTCTTTGGGTGGAGGTTGCGTCATTGCCGACTTTGTACGCCGGGGAGAAAGACGATGGAGTCCCAGAATTAGATTGAGGGTTCGGGTATCCACGTTGCTGCTTGGCGTGTCGATGAGTCAGTGATTCTCCGTGAGCTCGTCCCTTGGTTCCCTGATGTCTGTCGTTGCGTCATGTATCAGACTAATCGATCGAACATTCGTCGACTTAGTGAAAGAGTGCAAATGGTAGATAATGACTATACGACGTACGGCATCCGTTGAAGCTGGGCCCAATGGTTTCGAACTCTAGTCCGTCTTACTGCTATGCTGCAGCCAGCCTCGATGTGGCAGAAAAGCGGCACATACGTTTTCTAGCTTCTCGCGAATAGCTGCTGTCGACCAAGACTATATTACAAGTTGGTCGTTGGTCTCCTGAGCTGTGGCGAGGCGAGTGTTTCCAGCCCCTTGAGCACGCATCCGATCTTTGCCCAACGTACTCCATGGGACCTAACTCATATCTGTCATTCTCCTCGGCATCTCTATCGAGAGCAAGCCCTCATTTCTTGCTTCAAGGCTCCACGAGAACGTAGGCACAACCGCGAGAGACGTAAGCTCGTTGCCGCACTGAACAAGAACCAACATAAGTCATCTCACTAGCAAGCGCAACGACTCTCCTTGGCAATGTCGACATCATCACCAATAGAAATAGGTGCTTTGAGCCGGACGGAGCTGTCCACTTATTGCAGGACTTGGCTCAGTACATACCTCACGACTGCCTCAATGGAAGTCCCGCTTGGTTGGTCTTATTGTTGAATTTGAGATCACACGAGCACGGTCCTGAGCGGTTGGGATGACACGGCGTAAGATATCTGTCTCTGCATCGGATGATTATAGTTTCGGGTCCTGGCGGAAAGGAGATCGGACGGAAACGAGTTTGTGCACTATCTCTCTCCTCGGCACTTGACCAACGTCCATCCAGGTACCTCAGTAGAGGTCTTCAACAGCGCAGTCACTAGAGATCTTTGTAGGATGTTGTTAGCCTCATAGATACACGGATGGCATGAATCGATGACCCAGAGGACGACGTAAAGCTTGTTCTGAAGCCTTTCCTGACGAGTACACTCTTCTAGCGACCCATCTCTAGATGTGTTGCAGTTGTCTGTATTCAACTGCATCGTTCATGCTTCCCGGGTCATCCTGTCTCTTCAACGACTGTTTTGGTAATCTTGATGAAAGGATGATTATGTCGCATGTCATGAATCACCCCTCAAGACCAAAATGAACTGTATCCGTTATAGATGCCTATGCCCTACTTTTCGTGACACAGAATTATGAGTGCCAGTTGCTTGCAATCTCAGGAGCCAAAGAGCATTTACAAGCGCGACTTTACAAAGGAGGAGGAGAAGCAATCTTAAGTTTCTCTCAAAGAACGTCGGGTATCAACGAACTAGGAAGACTCTTTGAGAACGAATGGTAAGCAGCTTATCTTGGGGGTTCAGCTCGAGGGGCAAATCTCCTTCCCAGAAAAGGGGCTGGTAGAAAGTCCACCGTCCATTGATTGTCAACCCGCGGAATCGCATCTTTGAGTGGGAATGATTCTGTGGTCAAACTGCTACTCGATCAAGATGGGATCTTGAGTCCCAGCAGGAGAAATGTGCGACAGCTTTGGGCATTCAGGAGCCAGCCATCAACTATAGAGTTGTTGGTCGAAGGCTTCGACCTCGCAAAGACTTTGGATCACATTCAAAACAAGCGCCACTTCTTCACAAATAGGCCAACCGCCCGACTAATGGATTGTGTCAGAACAACTGACTTCCTGATAAACGAAGGCGCAGGGGTTTAAAGTCACGATGGACCAGAAGATGCTGTGAAAGTTGACCAAGGTGGAACTGGCCCTCTTGGTGAGTATACCCCAACACTCAAACCTCAAGGTTTACACAAACGATACAGTGAATGTGCCGGATACCTCAGTAGTAGTGGAATAATGCAGCCGAGACCGGTCAATCAGGAGAACAGCTACCCTCTACACGGTCATTTGACCTCGGTATCCAGCCCAGTCAGCCGAGTTCAAGATAGCGTCCTTATATTCTATCCCAGATATACAGCAACAGAGCGCA